GGGCTCTGGGAGATGGAGCTGAGGAGATGGAGCTGAGCTCCTGCAGTGCCCAGGGAGATGGAGCTGAGGCTCCTGCAGTGCTCTGGGAGATGGAGCTGAGCTCCTGCAGTGCCCTGGGCTCTGGGAGATGGAGCTGAGCTCCTGCAGTGCCCTGGGAGATGGAGCTGAGGCTCCTGCAGTGCCCAGGGAGATGGAGCTGAGGCTCCTGCAGTGCCCTGGGAGATGGAGCTGAGCTCCTGCAGTGCTCAGGGCTCTGGGAGATGGAGCTGAGCTCCTGCAGTGCCCAGGGAGATGGAGCTGAGGCTCCTGCAGTGCCCTGGGAGATGGAGGTGAAGCTCCTGCAGTGCCCAGGGCTCTGGGCCAGGCCCTGCTGTCCCTGCTGTCCCTGCCTGCAGCTCCCAGCACAGGAGGTGAAGTCACTGCATGTGAACAAGGCCCAGGGACAGCAAATGACAAAGTGCCAGCTCAGGGCTGCTACAAGGAATTAAACATTCATTCAAATGAATTAAACATTCACTCCAGGCAGCATTTGGACAGGGGACAGACTCCTTGGATTCTTACAAAGCTGCTCCTGCAAAAGGTGCAGCACAGGAGCAAAGATCTCTGAGTGCAACCTGGTTTGAGAAAAACCCATCATCTCTGCTGCTCATTGAACTGCTAAAAAAGGGGATTGCTTCAGGTGGAGTTTGCAAGTAGGAACTTTCACAGTGTCAGAGGTCAAAGCACCCTGCCTGGCCTTCAGTTCTTTCATTGCACAGTGGGTTTGAGCTGAAGCCAGGCTGGGCACAGTCTCCTTCAGGAGGTGACTCTTCCTGCAGCCAAGGATCCTTTGAGCTTCCCCTGATCCCATAAGTTGATATTTTGCTCCAGCTGCAAGAGGGACATGAAGGGAACTGCAGGAGAAATCTCACCTGGCAGTACAGGTGCTCTGCCCCTGCCTGAACTCTGCCCCTCATCACTGCAAACAGAAAAATAGGACAGAGCAGCATCAGGCTGGGCCAGGGGTGACTGACACCAGCCCATTCCCTGCTGGGGAAAAGCTGCTTTTATCAATCCTAAAACCAGGGAAACCTGTGTGCAATAAGTGAATCTTACCCTTGACCTTTGATAAAGTCACATTTTGCAACATCATATTTCAATGAAACCCCTCTTGCTGCTGCCTTTGAGAGTGGTTCTTGAAGCTGTTGAAATTGTCCCTTTGCAATAAATCAGTGGAGTTGGCAGGATCCTGAACGGGGATTTGTGCCAGGACCCCATGCAGGCAACACAGCTCCCCAGCTCTGAGCAACCCTGGGGTGTTCAGGTGTTCAATCATCCCTTGGGTTACTGACACCTAAAAATGCTCCTGGAAATCCTGATAGACACAAATGCCTCAGTTGGGTCCCCATCCTTACAGATCCAGTAGCTGCTTTTAAAGCCTCTGTTTTAACCTGTTCAATACTCAGTGGAAAGCAGAGCCTAAAATCAAGACAAGCCTTAGCAGCCTCCAGGGCAGGTTGTGGAGAAAGCTGGGAAGAGCTTTCTGTGCTCCACCAATCCTGAGGAGCTTTAATGAGCCTGGGAAGCTCAACAACTGTTGGATTAACCCTTTGAATTCAGCATCCAGATTTGTTGGTAAAATGTTTTCCATAGAAAGGAAGCAAGGAGCCTTCCCTGGCAGTGCAGCAGGAGCAGCAGTGGGGCAGCCCCTGTTCCCTGGCAGTGTGGCCTGTTGGTGCAGCTGCTGGTGGATACCTGCAGGTGCTGGGGCTTGCCTGGGGCTCTCACACCAGGCTCCCTGGCCAGGACACCACGGTCAGGGTGACTTTGTTCCTCTGCTCCTTCAGCATTGGGATCAGTTCTGAGTTGCTCATTCCGATTGCTGGCACTCCGTTCACTGCCACGATTTCATCTCCACACCTGCCCAAAGACAGATCCAGTCAGGACTGGGGTCATCATTAACCCTGAGCCAAACCACCAGCTCCTCCCTGAAAGAGCATTTCCCTTGAACCAGGGGGCAGGGAAAAGGGAGAGCACTGCTGGTGTTTGTGTGGCAGCAGTGAGGGCCAGGCTGTGCTGGTCAAACCCTGCTGGCCCACGTCAGTCCTGCAGCTCCTGCACTGCCCCCACCAGAGCTGGGAGAGGGCCCTGCCCCTCTCTGGCACACCCAGCACCTTCTGAGGGGTGCACGGGGCTGAGCCCCCACAGCCCAGTCCCAAACTCCAGCAGGAGCCCAGCTGAGCCCGGGGCTCCCCCTCAGCTCTGGAGCAAAGCCCAGCTCCCTCACCCAGCTGTGTCCCCTCCCTCACCCAGCTGTGTCCCCTCCCTGCACCCAGCTGTGTCCCCTCCCAGCTGTGTCCCCTCCCTGCACCCAGCTGTGTCCCCTGCCAGCTGTGTCCCTGCCCAGCTGTGTCCCCACCCAGCTGTGTCCCCTCCCTGCTGTGTCCCCTCCCTGCACCCAGCTGTGTCCCCTGCCAGCTGTGTCCCTGCCCAGCTGTGTCTCCTCCCAGCTGTGTCCCCGCCCAGCTGTGTCCCCACCCAGCTGTGTCCCTGCAGCCCCCCCTGCTCCTCCCCTGGGATCTCTCACCACAACCCCTCAGCAAAGCTCCAGTTAAGGCTCCTACACAGGAGAGCTTTTGCTGCTTCTGTTGGGATACTTCTCCTAATCCAAGAGGTTTTACAGTCTGGAACCTCCAAGATTGATCTCAAACATCCCCTTTTTTACCTTTACCTAATTACTAAATTAAACCCTTCACAGTTAAGTTTTAAAGGGCTGTAAATTCCTTTTCCTTGCACCTTTATGGGGAAACCAGAACACTGCTTAACGCGGGCCTTGGTTTGTTACAAGCTTGGCAACAATTTTAACTTCCAGACTGTGCAAGGCCATTAACCTGGAGCTGAGCTCCTCCAAGGAACCCCCAGCCCGGGGGTGGTGATGTCCCGGGCACCTCACACCTACCTGAGTTTCCTGTCCCTGAAGGCGGGAGTGCCGGGCACGATGGTTTTGATGAAGAAGGGTTGGTTTCCTTTGCTCTCCTCAAAGCCTCCCACGATGCTGAAGCCCCAACTTTCCAGGTTTCCTTTACTAAGGACAATATCTTGACAGAAGTGAAGGTAGCTGTGTCAAAAACAGAGAGGTTTATGAGGAAAATTGCCTGAGCAGGAATTTATGTTTTCCCTCATGAACAACCTCATTTTCCTGGGTTTTAGGATTTGGGATACTCCTTTGCAAGGCGTGTCTGAGGGTTAATTCTTAAATGGGATGATGCCAGACCTTTAGAAGTCTTTGCAGAGTATTGGTTTAGGAGCTAGTAGGAAATCACCCAGCTCTGAAGGAGTTTGGGATCTGCAAGACCCCTGGATAACTTCATGAATTCTGCTAATGAACACACTCAGCCCCAGAGACAAACCCAAATTACAGTG